TTGAGCTGAAGAGCTGAGGGATAGCGCCCAGGCCCACAGTTCAAGCCCCATGACCGACAAAAAAAAAAAAAAAAAGAGTTCCATCACTGCTATTGGTTCCACAAACATGAAGCAAACCTTGACACCAAAACAAGTATCTAACAAGAAGTGCTCTGCAGAGAACAGGAGCCATCACATGCACTTGGGTTCCAGAGCAGAACTGTGATATACATCCTTTTGCTTGAGACAGAACAGTTCCTGGAAAACACAGATCACTGCACCCCTTACTATATTACAACTCAGACTGGCCGAGTCTGACTGCAGGTGTCTGAAGTCCTCAGAAAGCAGCTGGCACTCGCATGGCAACTCTGCTCAGGCCTGGGGTACATGGGCAGAGCTAAAATCTACAAAGACTTGCCACCAGGAGTCTAGCGCAGTACTGGTCCTTACAGCAAGATGTGTGGTATAGTCTGCAAGGCTAACTGGATGATGGATCAAGTAAACCATGATGTAACAGACTAAAATCTAAAAAGAGATATTGTAGAGATCTACTTAACATAGCTATTCACTGTATTTTCTTAAGCGGAAAAAAAGGTAGTTAAAAAGCAATATATAGAGTATGACTTCATTTTTTTTGCCAAATAAAATGTGAGTAGATAAGTCTAGGACAGCCACAAACATATGGCTTTAGTTTTTCTTTTTGCCATGGGCCTTTGCTGTGTTGTCCAGACTAGCCTTGAACTCCTAGGCTCAAGTGTCTCCTGCCTGAGTTTTTTCCCAAGTAGCGGGGACTACAAACATGTGTCTCCATGCCTTGATCTGACAACTACCAACTGTTAAGTATGGGTGATTAGATGGTGGGATAGTAGGTACTTTTATTTTTTGTCTGAAAATTGATGATAGTTTTTCTGTTATTAAATTGTGTAAAAATTAAGTTACACACACACTCACATACACACGCACAGAATGCTTATAACCCTTTCTGATGTCTTTTGGCCTGCAGACTTTAAAATCCTCAGCGCGCCTTGACTTGCCTGCCTTGCTGCTGGTGGTGCTCTGGGTTGGGGGGTGCGAGGCTGGCTGTGGTCAGCAGGGGGCGCTCGACTCCTGTATCATGTGGGGCTTCCACAGCCATTCCCTATCTGTCAGCTTAAAGGGAAGCAGCCTTGGGCTAGAGCTGGCCATCCCTCTTGCTGTGTACGCGCAGTAAATAGTTCCTGGGAGTCATGTGCCCTGTCATCACAGGACCGTGGTCAGCAGCACTCAGCTCTCCCACAAGTGCTCATGGCTGGCAAGTGGGCAGAAACGCGGCATGCTCCTGTCCTCCAGTCCACCCCGCGGGTCACTGCCCCCCCAGCCTCTGCCCCCCGCCCCCCACAGCAGCCCTGTGTCTCTGGTATCCGCAGGTGAAGTCCCGCGTGGCCTTTGGGAAGCCCCTGGTGGAACAGGGCACAATCCTGGCAGATATTGCCCAGTCCCGTGTGGAGATCGAGCAGGCAAGGCTGCTGGTGCTGAAAACTGCCCACCTCATGGACGTGGCAGGAAATAAGGTGGGAGGCGAGGGCCGAGCTGGCAGCATGGAAATCTGTCCTCTCCTCCTCAGCAAACATGGAGAAAACTAGGCTTTTTGTCATTGGTGGCTACTCATCTCTGCTATTCAAGGGCAGAGAAAGGCTCAACGAAAGACGACTGAGCTTGCATCTTTACTGACTGGCTGGACTTGAACTTGAGTCTCATAGAACTGTGCAGCCCTGGTCTCCCAAGGCTTTGGTGCAGGAGTCAGACCAGACAAGTGAGCCAAGGAGAAGGACTCTACCAGCCCTGGCCCGAACACAGAATTGCCAACAGAGAGGTTCATTTCAAAGGGCGACAATACTCACTAGTCAAAGCTCTTTGTGGTGGCTGTAACAGCCACCATTGCCTAGCGCCTTGTCCAGCTTTTCTGTGGGGTGGGCTCCATCCCCTGCCAAGAGCCTCTGTCTTGGGGAGCCAGCCAGACTCAGTTGTGGGTTCTTTGACACAAGCGCTCATACGCTGGAGGCTTTCAGGCACCTCACTCCGGTGCCCTCCGCCTGGACAGCTGTGTGGCTTAAGCTTTTCCTGGATCCGCCTGTGCTCCGTCCTCTGTTGCTTGAAAATGGAGCTGCTGTTGCTGCTGCTATTCTTGTTTATATGTTGCTGGGGCTCAAACTCTGCCTTGTGCCTGCGAGGCAAGCACTCTACACGGAGCAACCTTTTCAGCCCTAGCCCGCTGTGAGCTGGAACACAGCACCAGCCATTCCTTTTCTCTCCACGTCCAGCAATGTGAATTCCCTGACAGCACAGCCCGCGCTCGGGGCTCTGCCTGGGGGTGGGCGTGTTTTAATTTTTTACTTCTGGTGAAATGCATTGTTCTTCCAAGCATTCTGCCCCCCTTTCTAATCTTGACCTCTCCTTGTAGGCTGCCGCTTTAGAAATTGCCATGATTAAAATGGTGGCCCCGTCCATGGCCTATCGAGTGATTGACCGTGCTATTCAGGTGAGCACCAACCAAGTGACAGTAGACATGTCACCCCCTGGCCTTTGGCTGCCCAGGCACCGTGCATGCCCCTCCCCTTTTCCTCTTTGAGATGAGCACTGCCAGGGGGCCCATCTCACCCCAATAGGAACACGAGAAAGCAGGCACCGTGCAGGGCAGTGACCTGCCGTAGCTCACTCAGCCTGCGCCCTGCGCAGGGCCACTTCCTCCCAGTCCTGTCGCCCGACTTCCCTGGTGGCAGAAGCCGCCTTGCGAGTAGGCTTGGTGAGTCTGGCATCCAGGTGACATGTGCCTCCATCCACATCTCTGGAGCATGCTGTGTCACACAGGTGTTGCCAGGGACACAGTGGGAAGACGGTGGCTGCTATCAGCCATGCTGAGCAGGCTGTCATTTGCGGGGCCTCTGGGGTGAGGGCTCAGCCAGGCCTCCCCTCTTCCCCCCCCCTGTGTCTGCCAGGCCTTCGGAGCGGCGGGCCTGAGTGGTGACTACCCGCTGGCTCAGTTCTTCGCTTGGGCCCGAGCGCTGCGCTTTGCTGATGGCCCTGACGAGGTGCACCGGCTCGCCGTGGCCAGGATGGAGCTGAAGCCTCGGGCCTAGCCCTGTGGGAGTCCCTGCTGGCCAGCTGTACCTCGCTGCAAGTGGCGCCCCCTATCTGCGACAGTCATTGTGAACTCAGCCTTCCCTATCTTCATGGAAGCCATTTCCTTGTGAAGCTGAGACTCATACTACAGGAGGGAAGAGGCGGAGGCAGTGGGGGAGCAGAGCGGAGCAGGCAGGTCCTCACCCTCCCGTGGCCTGCTCTCTCCCTGGCTGCGGGAATGGGGACACACGAGGAGCCCACTGGGTAACATGCTGCGCTCTCTCTGGAAACAGGCTGGAAGGAGAGGGTGGCCGGGGCCCAGGGGTGCTCTGGGAACACAGAGTGAAACCCCAATGGTGAACCTGATTTTCTTCTTTCATGCGTCACATCTCAGAGCACCTAAAGGGTGTTTGGGGAAGGGGCTCGGGACGAGGACGGAGCACATCTCGTAGGCTTTGGGAACTTTCTGTGTCACTGACACTGGAAATAAAAGTTCCACTTCACACTTGTTTCCCCAGCCCCTCCCTAGTGCATCAGTGACCCCACCCAGGAGATATTGGGGGGTGTGGTGCCTTGACCCCTGGCAGGTCCAGAGTCCCTGCTGCTACCGCCTCACTGCCTCATGGAAATGCCGCCGAAGGAACTGCAGCGTTGGGCGTGAGGCCCCTCAGCCTGCTGTGTACTCTGGCCGGGGGAGGGGAGCCGGCAGGCGCGTACTGCTGTCAGAGGTCCCAGAGAAGTGGGTGCCCCGGAGTCCCAGGCAGAGCTAAGCAATGCCATGCGATGCTCATCTCTTCACTTGTGATGGGGCTGAGCCCGTTCCAGGCAGACAAGCAGGCAGGACCATGGTCCTTGTGTGCCGCTTTGCACACGTGACCACACCACCTGGAGAAACTGCTCACTGCTGAGGTGAAATCCCCACCTCTACTAACTGCGTTCACAACACCTGCACAATGGCGAAGAACCCCGTGTAAACTCTGGCAGGAGCCCAGCGGTCTGGTTTCTGCTTGGGGCCTTGGGAAAAGGAAGTGGTTACAGTCCTACGTCACGTGCTCCTTAACCTGGTGCAGCCACACTATGCCCTGGGTATGACCCCATTGCCCCCCGTGTTCCCTGCTTCAGGGGTGGAGGTGCCAGGGCAGCACTGGGAATGCTACCTGCAGCATGGCTGGGCCCAGGACGAGTTCACTGGTCAGGGTTGTCAGTTCTGTCACCAGCTCACTACCCATGGGGCCTAGTGGATGTGTAGGGGAACGTGGGCAAAGCTGCTTCCTTATGACAGTTATCTCCAGGGGCTGGTTGCTATTGACTTGGTATGACAAAGTGGCCAGAGTGGGTGTGATATGGTGTGATTTGGGTTGTTTTTTTTTAAGGATCCACACTCCAAAGTTTACCAGGACTGAGAATAAAGGGATTTAGAGCTGGTTTGAAGTTCCCTATCACAGCAGAGGGCTCCAAAGGAACTACCCACAAAGTAACAAGAAGTAAACACAAGATAGGAGCAAGAGATCCAGAAGTAAGAGAGACTCTGACCTGGTCCCGGTCTCATGGGCCCTCCCCTGGCCAGTGCGAGTCAGGCCTGCTGCCTGCCAGCAGGGCGCACAGTGGCTGGGAAAGACACAGCACATCATCAGAAAGTATTTTTCCTGGGGGCTGGGAAAGTGGCTCAGTGGTAGAGCACTTGACTTGCATGCCTGAGGCCCTGGGTTCGATTCCTCAGCACCAGATAAGAAAAAAAAAAGCCGGAAGTGGAGCTGTGGCTCAAGTGGTAGAGCGCTAGCCTGGAGCCTGGAGCTGAAGAGTTGAGGGACAGTGCCCAGGCCCAGAGTTCAGGCCCCACGACTGGACCCCCCCCCCAAAAAAAGAATACTCACAGAAAGTATTTTTCCTCTCACAGGACCCTGGTGCAGACAAGGGTGGGTGCTGGCTTTCTCTGGGTTGACCCCTTCAGAGACCTTGGGACTGCCTGAGTCCCCATAGTTCCATCCAGGATGCTGACTTCGGGGGGGGGGGCTCTGACCCCTCTACTTCTCCCTCATCTTCCTTGCAGCCACCTCTGGTCTGGGCTCTGGTTTCAGATACCGTCGAGATAATTCCAGAACAATCCAGAGGGGGTTTTATTGTGTAGCCACTGGAATTCCAGAGCCTATCTCTAGAAAAATGCAAGGACAAGCCATTTGCTATCAGCTTTGCTGTGCAAAGCAAAGCAGCCCCAGGTCTGGCTGGCCTCCTTCGGCCGAGGCTCAGTGCTTGTGCAGAACACTTGATGGACAGCCAGCCTCACCGGATCATGCAGGGCACTCCCTAGCTTCGGGGGCCCTTTCCCTGAACTTCTCTGGACAAGCCACTGCTGGCACAGCTCAGCTCCTCACCTAGGCCTTGGCTCTGACACCTCACTGCTGTGCCCTGCCCTTGCCACCCATCGCCCTTGTCCCTTGTCCTGGCCTTCTTGCGCCCCCAGTGCCACTTCCAGGATGTTCAGGAGATAAACGCATTTGCAAACTTCCACGTGGCGTTTCTAAGGATCCGGGTCAAACCAGCGCTTCTCCCCCCACCCCCACCTCTCAGCCTTTTGCACTGCTTCCCCTCCCTCGAGGCCGGCAGCGCCCTCCGTTCCTCGCCTGCCTTAGCCGTGGCTGGCCCGCCTGGCGTCCCTGCGGCCAGCCCAGGAGCCGCAGGCTCGAGTGCAGGTCTGTTGGCACCGGCGGTTCGCGAACTAGCACGCTAGGCGGGAGCGGGGAGGGGTGTTCGGCCGAGGGGAATCCTTCCCTCCAGGCCCGCCTGCCCATTGGTGGGAACGTCCCCGGGTCCGGCCTGTCCATTGGTGGGCGCGCCCTCGGGCCCCGCCTGCCCATTGGTGGGCGCGAGGCGGGCGGGGTCTCCGCCGCGGGGCTCCACGCACCTCGGCCTCCGCACAGTCCGTCCTGCGCAGGCATCCACGCCTCGCTCCGCTCCGTCCCGGCCCCGCGCCTGCACCGTCCGGCCTCTCCGCAGCATGTTGCGCGCCGCCGCGCTCCTCGCAGCCCGCCTCGGGCCCCGCCCCGGCCTCCGCTCGCTGTCGGCCGCCGCCTCCCAGGCGGTGCCGGCCCCGAACCAGCAGCCCGAGGTCTTCTACAACCAGGTGAGCTCCGCCGCAGGCCGAGGCCTCCGTTACCCACCGAGGGTCCCCGGGCCACGGCCCCGAGTGCAGCCCGGCTTTGGGGGCTGCGGCCTCGTAGGCCCCGAGCGCCGTGCGGGCCCCACCGTCATTCAGACGGGCCGGCCGCCCTGGCAGGAACTTGCCCCACTTCTACCCAGGGGAGTTCAGAAGGATCTGCGAGGAAAGCAGCGGCGGGTCCCCTCGAGCCTGCGGCCGCCCACGGCGCCCCCTCCTGATCAGCCCTCCCCCACCCCGTTTCTTGCTCAGCCAGAATTTTGGAGGATGTTTTGAACCTCTGAGTTTGGGTAAACGTTATGAAACAGTTCGTTTTGTTTATGCAACAAGTACAAGCTGGCTGTTCTCCTGAGCTTGGGTTTCCTCTCCCTCCCTCCCTCCCTCCCTCGCTCTCTCTCCGCTTTCTCTCTCCCTCCCTCCCTCTGTGTGTGTGTTGTTTGTAGCAGTACTGGGCTTTGAACTCAAAACCTCATGCTTGTCAGGCAGGCACTCCACCATCTGAGTCATGTCTCCATCACTTGTGCTGGTTACTTTTGAGGAAGGGTCTTATTGTTCAGGCAGGCCTGGATGGGTTCCTGTTCATGCTTTCCTGTAGCTGGGGTGACCTGTGAACACTCTAAGTCCCTGCCATTGGTTGTTTCTGCTGGTGCTTGCTTTGCTTCGAGGGCACTTTGGGAGAGGTTACTCTTTAAACTCAAACCTCTCCTGGATTGGCAGGGGTTAGTGACAAGCACACTCTCTCTTTGTGTATCAGTACTGTACTGGCCTTGAATTTAGGGCCTTAGGCTCTGGCTTGGCTTTTCCCATTTAAGGCTGCCACTGATTGTCACATCCCCACTTTTAGCTTTTTTTTTTTTTAATGGTTCATTGGAGATAAGAGTCTCATCAACTTTCCTGTCTGGGCTGGCTTCAAACCATAATCCACAGATCTCAACCTCCTGAGTAGCTAGGATTACAAGTGTGGAGCTTGAACTCTGGGCCTGGGCACTGTTCCTGAGCTCTTCAGCTCAAGGGTAGTGCTGTACCACTTGAGCCACAGTATCACTTCTGGTTTTCTGGTGGTTAACTGGAGATGTCTCATGGACTTTCCTGCCTGGGCTGGCTTTGAACTGTGATCCTCATATCTCAGCCTCCTGAGTAACTAGGATTACAGGCGTGAGCCACCTGTGCTCGGCTTTTGTTTTTTTTTTTTTTTAAATGGCTTTCAGAGCCTTCTATTACCTGCTCAGAATCCACAGGACAACCCTGACTTACAGATGCCTGGGCTGTAATGTATGTGATACTGGGTCAAGCTGAATCCTGAACATGTGTGTTATGGACATGCGTATGTATTCCCTGTTCCCTTAACCACAGTTACTGGTCACTTGTCTGTCACGCCTGCTCCGTCTGTATCCTCCCCCTTCTTTTCACTCACAACTCTGTCAGCGAGGGGTTGTTGCTGTAATCATGTCAGGAGAGAAAGCAGAGGCTCAGCAGCCATGTCATGTGAATTTTGAATTTCTAGGTGGGAAACAAGCTTCTGCCCAGCTCTGCCTAGGCTGCCCGCACACACCGTTACTAGCTGCCACACCGCCTTGTGACTGTGCTGTTGTTCAAACGTATTTACATAGCAAAATATAAGACATAGCCAGTACTTACATAGTTAGAAATACATAAACATTGGAAGTCTGTGCTGTTCATGTTTATATTCCCAGCCCTGAGCTTGGCATGGAAATACTGTTATATAAATATTGATGAGTGTCTGATGGTTGCCTTTTATGTAATTGTGTCTATGATTTTGTGTTGTAAGAGCCAAGAAAAAGGTCACTTAATGGGCGCCTAGTATTTTTTCAGGGAAAGGCAAACATGAGAAAGTACCTGGGAGTTTGCTGGGGCAGGAGGCGGGAACACGTGGGCGGGTTAGAATTCAAGTGGGTGAGGCTGTCAGCTCCGGAGTGTGAGCAGATTAGAGCTGCATATTTGGCACAGTAGTTGTAATCCTCCCATCCTGGGAGTAATGAAATTGCAGCAATAGGCCTGGGAATGTGGCTTGGTGGTAAAGTGCTTGCCTAGCATGCATGCAGTCCTGGGTTTTGATTCCTCAGTACTATATAAACACAAAAGGCCAGAAGTGGCACTGTGGCTCGAGTGCTAGAGTGCTAGCCTTGAGCAAAAAGAAGCTCAGGGACAGTGCCCAGGCCCTGAGTTCAGGCTCTAGATCTGGCAAAAAAAAAAAGGAAAAAAGAAAAAAAAGGAAGGAAGGAAGGAACTTGTAGGAATACGAAACTGCTGAGCCAGGTAGAGGGTGAAGAAGGGGAGTGCTGGGGTTAGGTGTCAGAATATCACTAGCAAGTTTGGGGAGTTGGCT